TCATTCGATGTGTTTTCCTGTCATTTGGTATATCTTGCCAAACACCTAATCTAAATAATTGCAAACTAAACTCATTATTACTTTCATTTCCGAATGGAACAAATCAGTTTAATTCATTTTGCCAGTATATTTATTTCCTCCAAATGCTTGTCTTTGAAGTAATTGATTGTGTTTTTGATGGATTGTTTTTGATTCCACCATCCTTGTGGCAACAAGTTCCAGGCTATCACATTCCCCCTGAATCTCTTCCACAAAACCTTTAGTCTTCCTTAGTCTTTGTGCTATCAGCAAATGGAAACACTTTTTCTTGTCTATCCTATCTAAATCAATCATAATTTAGAATCTGCCCTCCATCTCCTTTGCTGCAAAAAGAACAGCTGCAGGTTTTTCCAAACCTTGTAGCTAAAGTCCCCCATTTCCGGAATCATTCTGGTAAATTGTCTCTAAAATATTTCACGAACACTTGTATCCTTCTTAAAGTGTACCGACTGGAGCTGGACACAATACTTGGCCTAACTGCACCTTCATAAAAATTTTGTGTGGAAAGAGAAAGTTCAATGACTGATCAAATCCTTAATGAGAGCAGGGATCAATCTTACTAGATGGATGAAGAGAAAGAAATCATGTTCTGCCTTTTCCTGCTTTCCTTCTGCCGTTGTCTACCCTAAAGAAAAGCTATTTTGCCAAAACCCCCATTTTTTTTTTATTATTCATTCACAGGATGTTGGTACCACTAACTGGGCCAGCATTGCATGCCAATCCCCAATTGTGAAGAGTCAACCACGTTGCTGTGGTCTAGAGTTACATGTAGGCCAGACCAAGTAAGGTGGCAGTTTCCTTCTGTATAGGGGACTAGTGAACCAGATGGGTTTTCAAACAATTGACAATGGTTTCATGGTCAACATTAGGCCTTTTGCATTCCTCCTAGGTGATAGACTATCCTGAAGAATGCATCAGAGACAAACTCCATTTTAGAAGGAAGCAGATACAAATATTTGACCATCTTATAAACTGCTGTTTCAAGTCACTGAAATGCTGTTGTTCATCCTTTTCGAACTCAGGCAGGGACTTCAGTCCAATAAATATAGTAATTTTCAATATACAGCAAAGTAAGGGATATGCCTCAAGAGTTAGGAACTGTGGAGTACAATCTATGGAGAGAAACAGTGTTAACAGTGTGAACCTTTGTCAGAATTAGAAAGATGCCTGAGTTTTGAAAGCAACATGAAAAATAAAGTACAATGTGAGCTTTATAAATTGTTTTACTTTACAAATTAATTTATGGAGCCTGTGTTAAAGCTGTGGGGATGATGATATTGTAACATTTTGATAATGTCATGTAGATATCATGTGATCAGACATCCGGTAATACATCAACTATGCATCCTTACCAATTCCTAGCTCCTCAATTAAGCAGAGACTCTGTACGACTAGCCTTATCAACTCAATAATCGCTTGTGAGGCTTCCTGTAACAAAGGGAAAATATTAATGGTAAGTTGGTGAAATACTTTGAGGATGCTCATGTTAAGGTAATGTACTGTGGCTCCTATTTGGAAAGAAGCAGCAGATGAGTCCACTTTTGGAATACTGCATTCAGTTCTGGCCTCTCTGCTATAGGAAGGATGTCATGAAACTTGAAAAAATTTACAAGGACATTGCCAGGGTTGGAGGGTTTGAGCTGTAGGGAGACACTGAATAGGCTGGGGCTATTTTCCCTGGAGCATCAGAGGCTGAGAGATGACCTTATAGCGGGGCATGGATAGGGTCAATAGTCAAGGTCTTTTCCCCAGAGTAAAGAAGTCCAAAACTAGAGGGCATAGACTTACAGTAAGTGGGAAAAGATTTAAAAGGGATCTAAGGGGCAACATTTTTGCACGGAAGGTGGTGTGTGTACGGAATGAACTGCCACAGGAAGTGGTGGAGGTTAGTACAATTACAACATTTAAAAGATATCTGGATGGATAAATTAACGAGCAGTTTGAAGGGATATGGGCCAACTGTTGGAAAATGGGACCGCATTAATTTAGGATATCTGGTCAGCATGGACGAGTTCAACCAAAGGGTCTGTTTCCATACTGTACATCTCTATGACTGTGTGAGAGGAGGGCAGTAATGTTGAGCAGAATAGGGGGATTAGAATGTAGTATTGGGAGCAGATAAGTGGAAATGTGTAGATAATTAAAGGAGAATGCTGGCAATCAGGGAAGGGTGGTGGGGTGGTTGTGATTGTTGCAGCTAGCTGCAACAGAGTTAAACAGAGAGCAGTGCAATATCTGACTTCAGATTCTTTCTTCACTATCCCGGGTCAGATCATTAAACTGCTTGCAACCTTACAGCCGACTTCATGGGGGCATTGCTTCTGATGCTGAGTCACTATGCCCCTCTGCCCACTATGGTTGAGCAGCTTGGCTTGCTATCTTCTTCCTGCCCTTGCAAGTGAATTGATGAATTTTCCCATACCAAACTTGTCCAGCAACATCTCCAAGCAGTACCTGAAAACCAGAGGGCTCCATACAGCTTCCCCTCCGTCTGCTAGTTGTAATACAAATTTTTGGCATGCAGTACACCTCCCCCTGAAGTGTTACAGCTGCCCCTAAGAAATGGTACAGATGGCCAAAACCTTCTCATCCACCATCTGCGAGACTAGTTGGGTGAACTGCCAGTCAATAGCACTAACAGTGCTTGTAATCTGCTGACTTTATAATAATCGCCCCACGGCAATTTCACTTAGAGATCATTTCTATGAGATGAGATCTATGTTCTATTTACAGCTGACTTATGACAGCAGCCTTCATGAATTTCTACCCAACTTGTTTTCACATGTCCTGACCTTATAATGAGGTCCATTCTGGCGGAGGGCAGAATGCTGTGTCAGTTTTTCTGAATCAAGTTGTTGGTTAATTCTTGCGTAATATTCCTGCAAAGTATTCTTGCATTGTATTCCTGTCTTCTCAAAACAGCATCTCAAGCAATTTACTGCAAGCACTGTCACAGGAAATCCATCAATATAAAATATTTAAGATCATAATATTTCTAGAAAATATTCATACAATATGTGTTTCATACTTTGGGCTGAATTTTACTGGAAATCAGCTAAGCGTCAATTTTGGTAAGCTTTGTAACACGTTTTATGGAGGGTTTCTCTCCACAAGGCTTAGTCACTTTCTCTTCCAAAACTCGTCTCATTATCTATGTGTCACTCCCCCTGGATGGTCTTGCTTGTACAGTGGGAGAACTCACCACTACTGAGACAGCCCAGGATTCTTGGTGTTGGCAGCATATTTAAAATACTCTGTCTACCAGGTCAAGAATTGTCAGTCCTGAGCTACTACACAGTTTCTGTCATTTGCCCTAGGACAAAGGAAAACTGGTACCCTGCTTTTCAGACAAGGATTGGAAGTTCTGGTGGATGGGATTGTCCTCCTCCCCAGGACCAACCGAGAAGACCATATTAGCAAACCCCACTTGCCTGATCCAAGGTTACCATCTCAGCCATTTCTGTTTCAATGGTTCAGAAGAATGCCCTGTAATGCCACAAGAAAGTCAATGAACTTCTCCACTCTGTAAGTGCAACAGTCTTCTCTCTGCTACCTCATATTAACTCTGCTACTGCACACACCTTCCGTCCAGGCTCATAGTGTACCACTCTAACTATTCATTCAACAACCTTCCTGATTGGCTCTCAAACCCCAGACTTCTAGCCCTGCATGTTCTCTACTACCATTTCTATCTTCTCACTCAAGCAGGACACCTCATTACTTTTTCCCACCTGCACCAGGAGTAACAGCAGTACCAGATGCTTTCTTCTCATTCAGTCCTTCCCTTTGCCTCTTTCCAGGAGAAGGTCAGAAGTCGGGACAGTGGCTCAGTTGTTAGCACTGCTGCCTCACAGCACCAGGGACCCGGGTTCGATTTCACCCTCGGACGACTATCTGTGTGGAGTTTGCGCATTCTCCCCATGTCTGCGTGGGTTTCCTCCTGAGTACTCCAGTTTCCTCCCATAGTCCAAAAATGTACAGGCTAGGTGGATTGGTCACGCTAAATTGTCCATGGTGTTCAGGGATATGTAGCTTAGTTGGGATGGGTCTGGGTGGGATGCTCCAAGGGTCGGTGTTGGCTTGTTGGGCCAAAGGGCCTGTTTCCACACTGTAGGGATTCTATGATTCTTAATACAAGAATGCAAAACTGCGCATAAAAAGACTGAATTAACTAATAGCGAGGTATTAAGGCATGTTGATTCATGTAAGTAGACCTATCACTGCTCACTAACAAGAATTTAATCTCAACAGTGTTCAACACTGCGTTGGAAAATGGGATTTCCTGCTTTTAACATCAAGAAATCCTTCACTGCTGATCTGTGACTTTCCCCAAGTTTCTAACTATTGCTGACATCATTCAGTATCAGGGAAGAGTACGCCCATCATGTTTTTCACACAGTTGTTGACAGGCCTTATGGATAATACGGTGAGAAGAAAATTGTTTGTTTTTGTTTGATATCAAGTGATATGAATCAGAAATCCTGCCTTTGCTAATTGTATTGGAATGCAATAAATAAATGTATTCTTAAAAATACCTTCAGATAAGTTATGATGTTGTTTCCTCTAAGTATCATTGACAATAGTGGATTAGTTTCTCTCACGAGATCAATGCTAACTTTAACAGACCAGTCATTTTACATATTAACAAGGATTGTAGTTTAAGCCTTTTTCTGTTTTGTGCTTTGCAGAATTTAAGCACCTATTTTAGCTCATCATTAGATATCATGGCACAGTGTCGTCATGACATAACACCGTTGTTGTGATGTCACAATCATTTAGTTAATTATGAAGCCCACAAATATTTAGGATGGTGCCTAAAAAGGCAACAACCTCACTAGGAAACTTCTCCAGATGCAGAGGAAGTATTCTGAGAGATAAAGTCAATTATGTACTAAAAGATGCCATCAGGAATTGATGAAGAATTTTAGGAATGGAGGTCCTGGGTCACTTCTGAAGAGACTATGCAGCACATCAAGAGTAATAATGAAGGAATGCACACAAAAAACAGGTCAAAAGAGGCTCCAGATTGTCCAGCAGTCATAGCACCTTTTAATCCATATGAGTCAGCATACCAACATGATTATACTTCAAAAACCTCTGGAATTCGAGAATCCTTTAGCAAGGGACCATGGTACGAACATAAAAGAAATAATCCCCATCCTGATGAAATATTCATGGTGCACCATATAAATCGAAAAGAGGTTGAAAGAGTTCCCACTCTTTGTATGGATTGGAACAAACATCCTACCGAGAAAGAGATTCGTGATATACTTGGACGGGATTTCTCCACAGAATATCAGGACCAATTTTTAGCAAGGATTAAAGGACACCTGCTAAAACCTGTTCTTCCCAGACCAGTTGTGCAGAAAAAGGAAATCCCCCATCCGCTGATCACAGAATTCCGTGATCAGTACCGTTTACCATACTTAAACAAGCATTTAATGAGTAGCATTGCTCGCAATGGCAGCAATGCCACCCGGGATATTCCACCAAAAGGAATAGTTCCAGCTGTAACATATGCTCACATCAAAAACCAAGAGAATAGGAAGAAGCTGACAACTTATGAGGAAAGTTACAGTAATGCCCATGAAGACGTTGCCTCATTCTTAAAATCTGTGGACATTGAAGCCATTCAAAGAGAACTCCAAAATTCAAATCCAAATGAGAGAAAAGCACTCGGAAAGTTTCTGCAAAATGTGACTGCACCCTGTGTCACTCAGCCTGTGAAATCAAAGATCTGCTAATCCCTGTAACTTGCTGATATTCTGCTTAACAAAGGCTTTAAGAAAGCCTATCACTATGTGAACAATGTCTTATAGACCTGAATTTTGCTTCATTTTATATTGGTTAATAACAAAATACTGCTATCATGAGTATATATTTTAATTCAGTAAAAATATTGCAATACATTAAAGTGACTGTTAGTAATTTATTTTGATTATTTTGTCAAATTTTAATATTAACTTTTTCGCATTCAATTTTGTGTCGAGTTCAAAATAACTTATTTTTTTCTTTGAAATTGCCCTGCCCATATTATGGATGGTAACATATTTGAAGGAGCAATGTGGACCAAATTAAGAAGGTCATATGTCTGGTTGACTCCTCAATGTTCTCCCTGCCAAGTGCTGTTTCCACAGGCAGCAGCAGCACCTAGCTAATTAGGATCATTTGTAGGGCAAGACTTGACAAGACCTTCCTAACCATAGCTGGGTTCCTGCTGTTAATGAACATGGATGCATATGGCACAACCCAAGGAGGTTCCCTGAGACGTCGGTGTCAGGAATCCAAGAAGGAGGTCAAAAAGAGGAATCAGAAAGCTGAAGTCGTCAGCTATACACTCTGACTTTCATGTTGGGAATTGTTGAGATCCAGTTTCCTCATGATGGGTGGTAGGACAAGAAGCTTTATCTTAAAGAGGTGAGATTTGCAGTTAATGAGGCTGTTAACACCATTAATAAGCATCTTGCCATTGTCTATCAGAAATCTTGTCTTGATGACCGGAACTTTGTTGGAAAAATGCCATGGGTTGCTTCCGGTGTTGAGAACGGTCTCACTCGACTTCTCGCTCAATTCTCCCACATTTCTCATCACAACACTTGTTGGGGCCCTATGAGATATATCGCCCACTGTTTTTCTCTCCACAGGTGCTTCCAGACCTGGTGAGTTTCTCTAGGGCTTCCTGTTTTCATTACCATCCATTCCTAGCTTGATTTACATGTGACCTCAGACTCACAAAAGTTGTTGACTTTTGACTGCCCTCTGAAGTGATTTAGCAAGCCATTCAATAGGAGGTGCCTAAGGAGCAAATACAGATTGGAAATAAATGCTGGCATTGCCCACATCCCAAAAACAATTTTTAGGATTGCTAAGAGTTGCCATTAGCCTTCTTTGAGAAGCATATATTGATTGTGCCAATGGAAACAACAATGAGTTGTTGCTTGCAGTTGCAACCTAATCTCAGGTGAGAAATACTTCAAATCCAGTACTGAAGATAATTTACTGTGTGCTAGCATTGTAGGGTAAAAATTAGTTACAGTTTATATTTGGGTACATGACCATAGCTCACAGGTAGTGAACACCTTAACTTGAAGGCCTGAAGATTGTCTGGTCTTGGTTTTCGTTGTGTAATTTGGATGAACTGCCAACACTTGTCACACCTCCACGTAACTTATGCTGAAGAACCTTGAGGGATATTACCAGCCTATGATTGACACCCTCCCTTTGGGCTACAAGTGAGGGAAGAGGTCCAAAACTCAAATTCTGCCTAGGCCTGCTGTATTCATGGCTGACAAGTTAAATGGAAGGGTGCAGAAATAAGGGTCATCCCCTTCATTTACAGATCTAACTGGGCTAGGACCTGTTTCTGGTTGACACTGACCTTGGATGAATCAGGAAATCACTCCCTACTGAAGACCAGATGTGCAGCATTCAAGTCAGGTGACCTAGACTAATACAGAGAATCTAGATATGACCTCCACAAAGCCATCGGGGAGGCCAAGAGGCAGTATCAGACCAAGTTAGAGGCCCAGATCTACCAAACAGACTCCCACTGTCTAGGGCAAGACCTAAACTACTTTACGGGATACAAAATGAAACAATGTAAGATAACGAACAATGATACATCCCTCCCTGATATGCTCAATGCTTTCTATGCTTAGTTTGAGCAGAATACCACTGGCGTTGCAACACCTGCCCCGACGACCCCAGATACACCTGTTCCCTCTGTCACCACTTCAGAAGACAGATCATTCTTCCTGGGAGTCAACCCAGGTAAGATGACAGGCCTGGATAGTGTACCTGGCTGAGCACTCAGATCCTGTGAGGACCAACTGATGGAAGTATACACTGACATCCTCAACCTTTCTCTCCGACAAGCCAAAATCTGCATCTGCTTCAAGAAGACCACCATCATCTCCGTACTCCAGAAAACACATGCGGTGTGCCTTAATGACTACCGCCCAATCGCTCTGACTTCAGTAATCATGAAGTGCTTCGAGAGGCTGGCCATGGCCTACATCAACTCCGGTCTCCCAACCTGTCTCGCTCCACTATAATTTGCCTACTGACATAACAGGTCCACAGATGATGTCATATCCTCAGCCCTGCACTCATCCCTGGAGCATCTGGACAACAAAGACACCTACACCAGACTCCTGCTTGTTGATTACAGCTCTGTCTTTGGCACCAGTGTCCCCTCCAGACTGATTTCAAAACTGTGTAACTTTGGTCTCGGCTCTGCCCTCTGCAACTGGATCCTCACCTTTCTGACACAGGCTGCAATCAGCGGGAATAGGTAACTGCACGTCCTCATCACTGCAGTCCCCTACTGTACTCCCTGTACATCTATGACTGCGTTGCTAAATTCTGAACGAACACCACGTACAAGTTTGCTGATGACATCACCGTAGTGGGACAGATATCTAACAAGAACGAGTCAAAATACAGAATGGAGATAGAGGGCTTGGTGAGTGGTACAATGAAAACAAACAACTGATCATCAACTTCAGAAAAAAAAAGGAGAACACGCTCCCATCTACATCAACAGAATTGAGGTTGAGTGAGTGAAGAGCATCAAGTTCCTCGGAGTGACAATAACCGATGACCTGTCCTGGACTTCCCACGTAAATGCAATAGTCAAGAAGGCACAACAACGCCTCTTCTTCCTCAGGCGGAGCAGGAATTTTGGCATGTCCACAAGGTCCCTCACCAACTTCTACACATGCACCATTGAAAACATACTGTCTGGGTGCATAACGGCCTGGTGTGGCAACTGCTCTGCCCAGGACTGTAAGAAACTTCAGCAGCTGGTGTGCACAGCCTAGACCATCATGAAAACAACCTTCCATCCATGGACTCTAATTACATGGCTCGCTGCTGCGGAAAGGTGGCCAACATCAAAAACTATTCACACCCTGGCAATGACCTCCTACAACCTCTTCCATCAGCCAGAAGACACAGAAGCCTGAACACACCATGAGCAGGTTCAGGGACAGCTTCTTTCTGGCTGTTATCAGACTGTTGAATGGACTCTTGTCTTAAATAATGTAACCTGAATGCCTCTATGTCTTTTTGATCTGTACATCTTTTGCTTTCTGTGATCTGCCTGCACCACTTGTAAACAAAGATTTTCAATGTATTTTGGTACACGTGACAATAAATCAATAAATATAGACTGTAACCTAGGCCAACATGTAACCCTGACTGCTGACTGGGTGCAAGGTGTGCCTGTCTGGAATTGGATCTCATTCTGACTGTTTTAAATCTTTATATCATGCACAACAATATCCGATTTCTATTTCAATTGAGCAAAATATCACTGTAATCAACACAGGCCTGATGGAATTGACACCAATGATAGAGGAAAACTTAATGAAATTGTACATAGTACTAGTGCATTGGATTTCTATCATGTTGATTCTAGAATTGAATAGTAGACAGATATAGCATATAAATAGACCATTGATCCCATTGGCTTCACTGATATCTTTATGCATATGAAGTACCGGGCGTAACAATTCCTTGAATTGTTATCTTTTTAAGGATCTGTGCAATTCACCTTTAAAATTATTAATGTTCTCAGTTTCTACAATAGTCTTTTGCAGTGAAATCCACATTCTAACCACCCTCTGGAATTATTTGCCGTAACTTGCTCTTTAATTCTCTTTGACTCAACCGATACTGGTTAATTCATCATCTGACCTTTAGCAAAGCAGGAACGGAAATTGCAGAGTCAGCACTGTTTGTGAGAGCCCTTCATTGAGAAGTGAATGACATTTGAAACTATGTATTTGATATTCTTCCCACCATTTCATTGACTCAGCAGGTGTGGTATGTGTGACTCAGGCAGCAGCAATCAGTGCCAATTCTGCTGCAGCACAAGTAATATAACTTGCAGGTACTGCCTCAGTAGGTCTGTGACTACAATAATGAACCACTGCATTTCTCAGAACCCAAAGGGAAAGATTCTAAGCTAGTAATGTCTACATGTTCAACCAAGGTATTTTGGATATAGTGTAATCAACAGTGCTGAATTATTTGATGAGTAAAATGTTTTGATGCACTTGTGGACATGTACAGGAGCTGAGTATTCCTTGGATGAAGCAAAGAAACCCTGACACTAAGTCATTCTTCATTGCTGTTCTGTAGCTTACAACAACAGTTGTCAGTTCCGTTCATCCCATAGTGCTTACTTGATGAATCTGTTGACACACAAATGTTTTTGCTATTAGATCCCACACCTATGATACTGACTGAATGCTTTCCCATCACCAGAAAACAAATTCCAATTTCCTTTTGATGCCACAGATTATGAATTTATGCAGAGTCTGTAACACGATAAAATAACATAAGATATGCCACAAAAATATCAGCACAAAAGCTTGGTTAAAATTTAATTTTCAAGAATATTTTCAAGTGGGAAAGGTGATGAGGCAGAGAGGTTTGGAGAGGGAATTCCAGAGCAGTGGCCTCGGCAACTGAAGCTGAAAAGACCAGAATTAGTGGTGCACAGCAATCGCAATATGAGTTTAAAAAAAGGAGTAGAAGTAAGCCATTGGGCTCACTGAGCCAGTTCCATTCCGTAAGATCACAACTAATCTGATTGTGGCCTGAACTCCATTTTGCTGCCTAGCTCCCACAAATCTTAATTCCCTTATAGTTCAAAATCTGTTAACCTTGAATATACTAAAAGACGCAGCTTCTACTACTCTTTGTGGAAGAGAATTCCTCTGAGAGAAGAAACTTA